GTGCATCATGTTTATAGTTTTATCATTTGTAACGCTTTCGAACGAAGGCTGTCGGCATTAGTTCCATCCATCTGTCCATAAAGGGGCACAACTATAATGTGCGCAAACATGATGCAATATAAATGTATTTTTATTCGTATTTTAAAGTTGTGTCGCGATATTAGGGACCCCTACCCCTTTAGTCCAATTATTGACAAGGTTGGCCCAAAACTGGATGAACATTTTTAAAACAGTAAATAACCTCCTCCTCCCCCCCACCATGGTGATGATGGCGTCACACATTACATGCGTGCGTTATCCGATGAGGCAAGCACAGGCAGCGTCACCAGGCGATGTCGCGTGTTGTGTTGCGGCTGTAATTAAACGAAAACTTACCGCACGTGTGATATTCGGCTGAGAACACATTCGTAGTTTACCTGCGTGGAATGGGCTGTCAGCGTAGAACACGTCGACGTTTTAAATTATTTCATAAAGCAATCGCTTAAATTATCAGCCTGGATAACTAATCGAGTTAACATTGCCAGCGTCGTTGTATGTACAATTAAGCAAATTATCACAGTTGCAATGAAACATAAGGATGTTTTATGTCAGAGCTCTCATAAGCGGCATTTGCATGTTGCCCGAAGACCATGGCTAGATGGCAAGTTTTAGGGGAATTGTTACCGGCAATTGTTTCAGGAAACGGTTGTTTAAAAAAATGGCCGTCCAAAAAAAATGGCTCCCCCCCAAAAAAATGGCTCCCCCCATACTAGGAAAAGGAGATGGCAACCTCCAATTAGATTTCAGATAGTCGTCACATGGACTACCCAAGGTTGCACGATCTCCCTCTAAACAATCGCATCGTTACACTTGTCAACAAACTCTTTGTCTTCTCCTGCGTAGTTTTTTCTAGGTTGAGCTGCTGTACGGCTTCTCTGCGGTGCGTTCTCAAGTTGCAACGCGTGTCGTCGTCGTTGTTCGGCGCCGTATCCGAGGGTTTCGTTCCATGTGCTTGGAGCTTCTTCCCAAATTGAACTGCACTTAGTTGCTAAAGAAGCTCCCAGTACGTGAAGAAAAACGTTGGACATTGGACCGTAAAATGACACGCAGTGCAAACCAAAACCACATGGGAGAACCAAACTTTTATTTTCGTTGGCTTGATGGAACTACGTCATCTTACGCCATTGCTGTACCAAGTTGCCATATGCTGGTTGTAATCTCAGCGAAATGTCATGCAAAATTGTCAGCATTTAGCTCGTTTTTCCACTCCTCCGGTTTTGCTGAAAAACCAATCCAATTGGCATAATTGCCGACATGACAACTTGATTTGATTGGCTCTGTTCGGGTTGGTGGAGGGCTATAGTTAAATAATTGACAGTATATCCACACGACAATCTAATCCTAAAGAAGCTATGAATCATGAATGCACTTACGATTAGCAGGGTCGGCTACGTATGGTGCGAAAGAAGTTCAACATACATAATATCAAGTCGTGAAAGTCTACGTATAAAATCAAATTGCCATAGTTGCTTGTAGGATAAAGGTGTTACGAGCAATAATAGCCCGAGTACATCATGGATATAAGACAGACGGTGGACCGTCCAGGTAGTCGTCAGTACAGGTGACCGTATCATCAATGGTTTTGGGCTGCATCTGTGGAGGACATTTTTTTTCCTAAACCGCAGCGTGAAATCCTTTCACAACTCTGCCCGGAGTGTTACAAAACGCCTCTGGCACCAAATCCAGAACCTTCCGCAGCAGGGCTTCGGTGACAACCGTCACCCACCACCGCCTTGTCGGGTTCACCCCCATTCAGGCCACTTCAAAAAACGATTTTAAGTCTCAACACGTCGCACATGCCTGATGATTGCTAAACGCGTCGTGCGTGAGAGACTGCTCTGAGTAACGGGGTGTCCCGTGGGAAAACCCAAAACTAACACCAATACCCTCCATTCGCCACTAAGTGACGGTGACGTCACCATGGCGCCTGTGCCAGGCCAGGTGCACTTTGAGGCCACCTCAGGTGTCAAAGGCTCGCTGACAGGAGGTCTCGGGACAGACCCAGGTGCATGGGTTGGCTGACTGAGAAGACTGGTAGATGCATCACCTGTACCCCCTACTGTGCCAACTTGCTGCATTTTAGCCACCCGGCGCTCCGCTCGTTGTTGTGAGTGTCGCTCCTCTACCCTCCATTGTTGCTGGAGGGAAACTGCCTCCAACTGCCCAGAGCGTCCTTCACGAGCCTCCTCCATAGAGGCCAATCTTGACACCGCTGGTACCAGTCGTTGGCAAGTCCACTCAGGTCCAGATCCTCCCGTACCGCATCAGTCCATCGCTTCTCCAGTCCATGTCGTGCCCGTTTAGCCCCCTTTATACAGCCAAACAGAAGCTGCTTGGACATCTGGGCTACATGACTCAGTCAATACAGACTTGCTTGCTGGAAGAGCTCACTGATGGGAATGTGTCCAGATCTTTCAAAGGTTTATGAGCTCCTCACACAATCTAGCCTGGTTAAGCGCAGGATGGATCGTAGGCATACCAGCCTGAATGTTTCTAACCGAATGCAGATGTTCCATTAGAGGGGTCCATGTTTCACAAGCATAGAGAAGGGAGGCCATGACTGTGGCCGAGAAGACCCGAAGCTTCTTGCATTGCCTGGCAAGGCGATGTTACATAATCCTTGCCAGGAACTTTCCCGGCACACTGAGAAGAGAGATGCTACTATAGTTGTTACAATACGTGCGGTCCCCCCTCTTTAAGAGGGGGACCTACCAGGGCATCCTTCCAATCCTGTGGTGATATCATGTAGGGCAGTCTGCACACAGATGCCACCCTTCCACAGCATTTCACTTGTGAGATCGTCTCTGCGCAGCGCTTTTCCTGGTCTCAGACTTCAGATCGCCACGTCGCACTTCTGCCAATATTTGAGGTACCGCAGCCCTAATAAGCTCGTGGGAAACACACCCACACACATGCGCACTTGACAAGAGCTTTTCTCCCTCCGTCTTTAAATTATTTAGCGCTTTTCTTAGCATAGGAACGTGTTCAGCGTGTGCAGCGTGCAACCGCTAAATCTGTATTGGGTTTCCGCAGTCACCCAGTGAACTGTGGAAACTGTTAGGCCAACGTTGGGCCAACAACTTTGGTGCTACGGTGGCATGTCTACAGGGCGATATAATTAATCGTAGCTTTGTTGTTGTTGTTTAACTATGTCGCAAGAGAAATTTGGTCGGATCATTTACGAGGCCTAACCGAATACTAAAACGAAAAGAAAAAAATACTAAATATGAATCGGATAGATGTGAATTTGTTAAAGCGATTTTGTCGACGGCGTTTGAAAATCTGAGATAAACAAAATGGCAGCGTGAAATCACGTGACCCCGTCTGCCTCCTGGGGGCCTCTGTTTTCATGGCAACGTGAGGGTTTAGGAGGCCCGACTTTTCAAATAAAAAAATTCCTTTAAAAGCAAACAAAAGCAACGGGTTTTTTGTGTGGCTACCTTAGGAAGAAATTCGCGTTTTTAGAAGGTCGGTTTGGGCAAAAACTGACAACAACAAAATCCACCGTACACGTTAACACGGTACCACCGCCGTGTGCGCACAGCAGAGGCCCACACAGAGAGAGGCCCGTGTGCCCTCCACAAAGTGTTGGGTGGCCAACACTACGTCCAGAGCCGCCTTTGTCTTCCCACTGCCGATGATTACGTGCACGACACCAGGTACTCATTTGAGGCCGAGCCGACCTCGGGGAGATCAAGAACCGGTTCATCTAATCCGTAGCGCAGTGCGCTAAACTACTACACCACCTCTCCCTACGTGCACACACACACACAAAGATCCCCCTGACATCGCCTTTGTCTCCCGATACCTGCCGGTATCGAACTCGGGCTGCCGTGGGGGGGGGGGGCGTTCGTGGCGCGCTAACCGCAGCGCCACCGCTCCCCTCCCAGCCACATGGTGCACGCGTGCTTACCAATGTAACACGTGCGTAGCACACACACATGTGCGTGTGTACATGTCGCACCCCAACTGCGCCAGACGTGGCACGAATTCAATTGAAAAGTAATTCATCACCACCCACCGCCATCACCATCGTCGTCGCTAGCCACGACCGAGTCACTTGCTGGAAGTCGACGTTGTCTGACACGATGCTTGCCTGTGTACCGCTACACCTGTGTACCGCTACACCTGTGTACCGCTACACCTGTGTGCCGCTACACCTGTGTACCGCTACACCTGTGTGCCGCTACACCTGTGTGTGTACCGCTACACCTGTGTACCGCTACACCTGTGTACCGCTACACCTGTGTGTGTACCGCTACACCTGTGTACCGCTACACCTGTGTACCACTACACCTGTGTACCACTACACCTGTGTACCGCTACACCTGCGAGCCCCACGTGGCTTTCCAACAACGCACTCGGCTGCAACCCGCGCTGCTGTGGCTGCGGTGGCGCTAATCGCAGCGCCACCGCTCCCACCTCTCCCTCCGCCCCCCCACACTCACCCTGCACTCGGGTGCCGGCACCACGCTGTAACAACGTCATGTGTACTGACTGGTCTGTCATTGTGAGTCTCGCTTTTAAAACGACAATTTGTCCTTCAATCGCGATGTAAATGGACGTAAATAAACTCGCGTGTTTAGGGAGGGATGGCCTTCGATGGTGCCTGACTGGGTTCACTGCCGAATTATCCGGATTATAAGACGCGCTACTGACGGCGTCTTATAATTTGATTATTGTGTTGGTGTGTGTGTGTATCTGCGTGTCTCTGTGTGTGACCGTGTCGGCATACCTACGGTCGTGTCGTGAGTGGTTCGCGCGCTGCGTTACGAACCCACGCCTGGCAATCCCTTATCAGTGCCCTACCTTATCACAGACCAATTGGTCACCCCCGTGCCCCTTATAAATATCAACGTTCATCCTACAAAGTCCCATCACAAGGGAGAAACGCAAACAAATAAGACAAAACGCGTTTGTTGTTGTTGTTGTTGCCCGTATTGAAACGGCTGTACGCCGTACGGACCTGGAAACTCAATGTCCCTGTACAAGATTACGGAGTCAGCCGTGTGGGTTGACGCGGTGTGCGAACGCGTTGACCCGAGTTCGATATCCCTGTTGGCACACTCGAAATGAAGGACGTGGGCAGGTGCTCCAAATCGAGGGCAAACACATTTATTGTGGTCAATCTGTAAGATGCAACAGCACGTGTCTCACACACAGCAATTCTTCAACCGAGTCGCCATTAACCACGTGACTGGTGTACTAGTGCGGTTATTCAATAACCCTGCCAGCCACCTACAGGCCTAACTCAGTCATCACATGCTGCTGGACACAACATGCATTGATGCACTGCGCAGCACATCACAGAACCACACTTTACTCCCTTGCTGCTGCACAAGGACATAATTAAAGGAGTGGTCCATTCCTAATGTGCCACATCCCGCTACGGTGACGATTATCTGAACCGGTCATGGGCCTCCCCGAGGTCGTCTCGGCCTCAAATGAGTACGTAGTGCGATGTGTAAAAAAAATAAAAATCACCACTGGGAAGACAAAGGCGGCCGGGCGTGGTGTTGACCACCGCACCCCCTCATTAGGGTGGGATGCCACCCTTCGTAGGTGCTACTCGCTAACAGCACTTGCCCCAACAGTCTGTTAAGGCTATACGGGGGATCGTTGTCTTTGTATTTGCAAAATGTTTATTAACACTGGGCACAAAGCCTGGAGTGCATCTTCCTTTCCCAAGCGTCTTATCAGGGATAAAGCCAAAGTGTTTGACACCACCAGCAATGTGGTGGTCACTGTGAGAGTGGTCAGTTATGTAACAGCACTACTGCTACTCCAGTACTACTGTTACATAACTGAGAAACTCCAGGAATTTAAATAACTCGGGAAGATGAGAAAAATATTAAACTTTACAACTATTTTTTTTTATTTTACCAGGTAAGTCGCACTGAGCTATGTAGCTACTTTTCAGAAGCGACCTGGCCACCAACGACAGCTCAACGAAGTGGCTTTTTATCAAGTGGAAATTTATATCAGCCAAATACTCGAGACGAATGTTACTAAATGTGGAGGGAAAACCGGATGACCACGGGGAGAACGCACAAACTCCAAATATGCAGCAGGCGTCAGGGTCGTGATCGAACCCATGGCCTCCTGTATATCGGGAGAGGGAGTTAACATCTCCCAGCCACCGCGAGGTGGTGCTAAGATGTTAAAACACCAAATAGGCACCTTTAGAAGGCATCAAGTCTGCATTAAGCACACACACTTGTGGTAAAACATGCAAACAAACATGCTTTCACGTAGGTTTAAAATGTAGTCCAACCGTGCGAATCGGAGATGCGGGCTAATGTCCGTGCCGTATTGCGCTTGAGGCTGATTTTGATTGGCCAACACCAGAGACGGCCTCCTTTAAGGCCGTGTCTCACGGTACTATAGAGCAGTGCTCTTCACTCATGTTCAGTGGGGGGGGGGGGGGGGGGACACTTTCGCCGGTAAGACATCATCAGTGTCAGGCCCGCCACTCATTTGAAACCATTGTTGGGTTTCTGACAGCACGCTGATGGTGGGGGGTGTTCTCACTCGCTGTGTCTTGTCGGGGGGCTGACGTCAGGGGCCGCACTCAAGGCCACCAGGGGGCCGCCAGTGACTCGCGGGCCTTGCAATGAAGAACGCTGCAATAGAGTCAAGAACGCCAAATCATTAATATCTCGGCTAAAGACTTTTTTTTATCATCTTAAAAATTGGCAAAAAAATTGGCCTCAGTCGACTCGGGAACACTTACAGATCTTACAGATTTCCGAGAACAGCAGCAGCAGCAGCTACCCGGATGAGAGGACGCTTTGATTACATCAGCAGCTTCTTCATCTTATTGGCATTTCGGAGAGCAGTCACTTGACATTGTTATTACCAGGTTGTATATGTCGCTATCTCTACTTGCGAGTCAAGTTTGTTTTACGTGCAGCGCTTTGAGATTCAAGTACTCCAACATGAAAGGCGCTATAAAATAATATAATAAAATAATAAAATAATAAAAATAAAACATAATAAAATAATTCTCACTGGTGAGAATTATTTTATTATGTTTTTTATTATTATTATTATTTTATTACTTCCATTCTACGTGACTTTACCGAAAGAACCTGCAGTCACGAAAGCTTTAAATCGAAAAATGAAAGGCGCTGTTATATAATAAAAAAAACCCACAGAGGTTGTTACTACCAGTATAATTATAACCCCTCATTTCTGACACCCATATGTGTTCCTCTGCGCTCTGGTATGGGAGTTGAAATCGTGCTTCTCTCTCCACTCATCGCCACCGTGGAACCATCACGGGGACGCCCTGCGCGACAGCGGCTCCATGCACCAGGCCCCCAGGAACACCTCGTTGTGTCCCAGGCAGAAGTCCGCGGTGTTCATGTAGGCGTCGAACGGCCTCACAGCCACCTCCTCATCTGATCAACGTCCATCACCAGCAACGAGAAAGATTGCCCAGGCAAAGCATTAACGGGGCTGTTGGCGAAGTGGTTGGTTGGGTGGTCATCACCACGCCTTGTCTCCGCAGTGGCGATGTGTTCACACACCGCACCAGCTACTCGAGTTGAGGCTGAGTCAGGCCTAGGGGGAGGACCAGGACCGGTTCAGATCATCCGTCACCGGTGTTGGAATCGAACTGTGGTGGTCTCGTACGTAGCTCGGCACGCTAACCGCTACACCATCACCACCCTCATTGTCACCACCGTCCATTCAGATTATAGCACAATGCACTTTTTTGTTGACAGAGAGCTTCCAGATTTCTCAGCCAGAGGGCAGAGCATCAGCAGCCACTGTTGTCGCGTGCGCTGCTGCCACACATCGATGCTCCCACGCACATTCACCCAACGCACGCGAAGCCAGCGTCCGTGAAGTGTTTGCATCCAGCAGTGGATGGACAACAGGGCCTTGCGTGTGTGTGTTGTGTGTGTGCGTGTGTGCGTTGTGTGTGCGTGTGTGTTGTGTGTTGTGCGTGTCGTGCGTGTGTGTGTGCGTGTGTGTGTGTGTGTTGTGCGTGTTGTGTGTGTGCGTGTGTGTGCTTGTGCGTGCGTGTGTGTTGTGTGTTGTGCGTGTCGTGCGTGTGTGTTGTGCGTGTGTGCGTGCGTGTTGTGTGTGTTGCGTGTGTGTGCTTGTGCGTGCGTGTGTGTGCTTGTGCGTGCGTGTGTGTTGTGTGTTGTGCGTGTTGCGTGCGTGTGTGTGTTGCGTGTTGTGTGTGTGTTGTGCGTGTTGCGTGCGTGTGCGTGTTGCGTGCGTGTGCGTGTTGCGTGCGCGTGTTGCGTGTTGTGTGTGTGTTGTGCGTGTTGCGTGCGTGTGTGTGTTGCGTGCGTGTGCGTGTTGTGTGTGTGTTGTTGTGTGTGCGTGCGTGTGCGTGTTGCGTGCGTGTGCGTGTTGTGTGTTGTGCGTGTGTGTTGTGTGTGTTGCGTGCGTGTGCGTGTAGCGTGTTGTGTGTGTGTTGTGCTTGTGCGTGCCCACCCTTGGCTAAGAAGAAGACCCCCCCGTGGTAGCTGGTCTCGAAGCAGCCACACGGAGACCCCTCCACCTGGCAGCCCGCGCTGGGGGCCGTGGTCGGGGCAGGGAGGGACACCGCGAGAGGGCCTGTCAGTAGGACCGTTATCATGTACTCAACACACCACACACTCACCACTCACTCACCACACACTCACCACTTACTCACTCACCACTCACTCAACACACCACACACTCATCACTCACCACTCACTCACCACACACACATTCACCACTCACTCACTCACCACTCACTCAACTCACCACACACTCACCACTCACTCACCACATACTCACCACTCACTCACCACTCACTCACCACACACTCACCACTCACTCACCACTCACTCACCACACACTCACCACTCACTCACCACTCACTCACCACACACTCACCACTCACTCACCACACACTCACCACTCACTCACCACCCACTCACCACACACTCACCACACACTCACCACTCACTCACCACACACTCACCACTCACTCACCACTCACTCACCACACACTCACCACTCACTCACCACTCACTCACCACACACTCACCACTCACTCACCACACACTCACCACTCACTCACCACTCACTCACCACAAGCAGCACATACCACGTATACAACCACCCACCACACTCACCACAATTATCACATGCCACATACATAATGACTCACTACACTCACCACACTCTCACCACAAGCAGGACATGCCACGTACAGAATGACTCACCACCGCACCACGCCACTCACCACCCACATCACAAATCAGCGCACCACGCGCACACCGCAATTCGGTCAGGCGACGGCTGACTGCGTTGCCATCGCAGATTGCAACCCGTGCAGGACCTCAGCGGCGCTGCCCCCTGGTGTCTCTGCCCCCTGGTGTCTCTGACCCCTGGTGTCTCTGACCCCTGGTGTCTCTGACCCGGCCACTGTGAACCCTCGACAAGCGATGGGGGTCAGCGGCCTCACCCGGAGCTCCTGACGAGGGTGCTCGCCATGAGCACACTCGCCTTGCGGACTTCCCCGCGGACGCTGCTGAAGTGCCGCTTGAACTTCACGGTGCTGTGACCGATCATCGCCACCGACCTGTTCGTCTTGTAAGCGATCTGTGCGAACAAACAGGCGACCACAACACGCCCCGATCGTCATGGCCTGAAAGAGGTGTCATTGTTCTTCTTGGTTCTTTCGGTAAAGTCACGTAGAAGGGAAGTAATATTATTTTATTACTTCCCTTCTACGTGACTTTACCGAAAGAACCAAGAAGATGAATCCCTGCAGTCACGAAAGCTTTAAATCGAAACGTGTCATTGTTGTCATCGTTATTATTGTTGTTGTTGTTTAGCGAAGAGGCGCATTGCTTCAGCGGGTCAGGTGTCTCTTTTTGTGTGTTAGTGGGCTATGGAGACCGCTTTGTAAGAGATGACAGAGACGACAAGAGGTCAGTGGAGAGAGAGGGGAAGATGCTTGTCAGGGAGCTATCGGGCTGTGTCGCTGTGTGTGGATCAGGGCCAGTGGTATAAGGGTTCGCGTGCTGCGTTATGAAACTAAACTACTAAACAAACGTTTTATTTGACCAGGTAAGGCCCATTGAGCTTTTGCAGAAGCGACCTCAACGAAGTGGGCTATCGGATGGAAGTTTAGAGCAGCCAAACACTCTAAACACATGTTTATAAATGTGGAGGGGAAAACCAGAGGACCGGAGAAAAATCCACGCGACTACGGGCAGAGAGACACGCAAACTCCCAATATACAGCAGGTGTCAGGGTCGAAATCGAACCCATGACCTCCTGTACACCAGGCGAGGTCGTTAACATCTCACCACCGGGGTGACGGGGCTGGCGACTCGAGTTCGATTCCCGCTCACGGCCAACACCGGTGACAATGATCTGAACCGGTCCTGGGCCTCCCCTAGGTCGACTCAGCCTCAAAAGAGTATCTAGCACGGTGTGGAAAAACATAGCCATTGGGAAGACAAAGGCGGTCGGGCTGATAACATCTTAACACGTATAGAACCGCAGAGCAGTTTTTCTTGGTTCTTTCGGTAAAGTCACGTAGAAGGGAAGTAATAAAATAATAAAAATAAAACAAAATAAAAAAATTCTCACGACGTGTCGGCCACAACGCAAGCAGCCGTCCTCAGGTGGAGAACAGGTCTGTCGAGAAGACAGAGTCTGAATTCAGACCTGTTTTTTTTATTATTTCCATTCTACGTGACTTTACCGAAAGAACCAAGAACCAAGAAGATGAATCCCTGCAGTCACGAAAGCTTTAAATCGCAGAGCAGTTGTTTGCCGCTAGCGTCAGCTCACCTGGCAGGGTTCCAGCTTGTCTGCGGTTCCTACTCGGCGATTGTGAGCACGCAGTTCGCATGAACACCGCTTTAATGAGCTCATCACGAGATGGATGTATTTGTGTTCAGCTGAGTGGGACGCGTGTGCAGGATGGAGGGGGGGCTGAGGGCCGATTGCCGAGACGGGCGTGGGAGCGGCCGTCTCCACGGGCCCGGCTACCGAGGGGAAGACACCTAAGAGCAGATCAGAATATTTATACTGGTAGGAACCTCCTGGTTACACCAGCCCACAGGGGATTATTGTGTCCGTCGTGCAGGGAGGGGCTGGGTGGGGAGGGAGGGGCTGGGTGGGGAGGGAAGGGTGGGGAGGGGCTGGGTGGGGAGGGTGCGGCTGGGTGGGGGGTGGGAGGGGTGGGGCTGGGTGGGGAGGGGCTGGTCACCCCGTGGTGCCCTTATAAAACTCAACGTTTAACCTACTCACGCCGGCTTGTGCCCGCCCTCACAGTCGGCCATATTTGCGGAATACATCACGCCGCCGTTGACCCTGGCCATTGACCGAGCAACCCAACGTTCCTACCAGCTCCCTCCGCAGGAATGTGTTTTATTTCGGAAGGAATCCGATGAGCTGTGAAGCTCTTTTTCCACAGATGTCAAGATGGCGGAGAGAGGCAGTCAGGGCAGATGGTTGCGGCATCGGCGCCTTTGGCATTGAGGACGTCTTGGTCGTGAGCACTCGTGAAAGGGGGTCGTGAAAGGGGGTCGTGAAAAGGGGTCGTGAATAACCCCCTCGCTGGAGCACCACGCGCCCCCGTGAGGAGCCGTCTCCCCAAGAGGCACGTCGCAGTCCCTGTCCCTTCGGACGCCCGTGATTCCATCATTTCTCCGCTGCCCCTTTGCTGGATTACTCCACCCCATCCCCTCCACCCCATTCCCTCCACCCCATTCCCCCCACCCCATTCCCTCCACCCCATTCCCTCCTCCCCATTCCCTCCACCCCATTCCCTCCACCCCATTCCCCCCTCCCCATTCCCTCCTCCCCATTCCCTCCACCCCATTCCCTCCACCCCATTCCCTCCACCCCATTCCCCACTCCCCATTCCCTCCACCCCATTCCCTCCTCCCCATTCCCTCCACCCCATTCCCCCCTCCCCATTCCCTCCTCCCCATTCCCCCCTCCCCATTCCCCCCTCCCCATTCCCTCCACCCCATCCCCTCCCACCCATTCCCCCCCACCCCCATTCCCCCCTCCCATTACCCTCCACCCCATTCCCTCCACCCCTTCCCCCCTCCCCATTCCCCCCTCCCCATTCCCTCCACCCATTCCCCCTCCCCATTCCCTCCACCCCATCCCCTCCACCCCATTCCCCCCACCCCATTCCCCCCTCCCCCATTCCCTCCACCCCATTCCCCCCCTCCCCATTCCTCCACCCCCATTCCCCACCACCCCATTCCCTCCACCCCATTCCGTCCCCCCATCCCCCCCCTCCCATTCCCTCCACCCCATTCCCCTCCACCCCATTCCCCCCTCCCCCTTCCTCCACCCCATTCCCCCCCTCCCCATTCCTCCATCAGGCCCATCCCCTCCACCCCATTCCCTCCACCCCATCCCCTCCACCCCATTCCCCCACCCCATTCCCTCCACCCCATTCCCTCCACCCATTCCCTCCACCCCATTCCCTCCACCCCATTCCCCCCACCCCATTCCCTCCACCCCATTCCCTCCACCCCATTCCCTCCACCCCATTCCCTCCACCCATTCCCTCCACCCCATCCCCCCCACCCCATTCCCTCACCCCATTCCCTCCCACCCCATCCCTCCACCCCATCCCCCCCACCCCATTCCCTCCACCCCATTCCCTCCACCCCATTCCCTCCACCCCATTCCCCCCACCCATTCCTCCCACCCCATTCCCTCCACCCCATTCCCTCCACCCCATTCCCCCACCCCATTCCCTCCACCCCCATTCCCTCCACCCCCATCCCCCCCACCCCATTCCCTCCACCCCATTCCCTCCACCCCATCCCTCCAACCCCATCCCCTCCACCCCATCCCCCCCCATTCCCTCCACCCCATTCCCTCCACCCCATTCCCTCCACCCCATTCCCCCCACCCCATTCCCTCCCCCCCCATTCCCTCCACCCCATTCCCTCCACCCCATTCCCCCCACCCCATTCCCTCCACCCCATTCCCTCCACCCCATTCCCTCCACCCCATTCCCTCCACCCCATTCCCTCCACCCCATCCCCCCCACCCCATTCCCTCCACCCCATTCCCTCCACCCCATCCCTCCACCCCATTCCCTCCACCCCATTCCCTCCACCCCATTCCCTCCACCCCATTCCCTCCACCCCATCCCCTCCACCCCATTCCACCCACCATATCCCCCCCACCCCATTCCCTCCACCCCATCCCTCCACCCCATTCCCTCCACCCCATCCCCTCCACCCCATTCCACCCACCATATCCCCCCCACCCCATTCCCTCCACCCCATTCCCTCCACCCCATCCCCTCCACCCCATTCCACCCACCATATCCCCCCCACCCCATTCCCTCCACCCCATCCCCTCCACCCCATTCCACCCACCATATCCCCCCCACCCCATCCCCTCCACCCCATCCCCTCCTCCCCATTCCCCCCTCCCCATTCCCTCCTCCAGCTGTCCCTGTTGTGGTCCCACGCTGTCATTGCCTGAGGGCGGTCGAGGTCAGGGCTCTGCCCTCCTGGCCGCGTACCTGGCTGTACACGAAGTACATCCCAGGGCAGATGATCCTCATCTTGCTGTTGTTGACCAACTCAATCCGGCAAGGGGCTTCCGCCTCCCTGTCGACCGTGCATCTCCACCGGAACAGCCTGTCGGGACCTGCATCACCGTCGCCAACGTCATCATCACCGTCGTCATTAGCACGCTTGGCTACGTACGGTGCGAACGAAGTTCAACATAATACATTATCACCGTCGCCGATGTCGTCTTTATTAAAGCGGACACATTTCGAAGGAGGCTCAGCCGCGGCACATGGCGAGTGTGGCAGCCCCCTCGTGCACAGCTCGGACTCAGAATGTTTATTTATAGTGGAGGAATCCGGTGAGCTACAAAGCACGTCGGGGCGAGTCGGAAGGTGACGACAACAACAAACAATGCAGCAAAAATACAACGCGAGTGCAGAGTAGAGGAAAGGTAAACAAATTAATTACACAAAAAAACTAATAAAACGAAACAATTTTTTTTTATTACGTAAATCATACTCTTTGGTTCTTTCGGCAAAGTCACGTAGGTAGAAAAATAATAGATCACGACATTTCGATCGCAACACAAGCAATCGTCATCAGGTGGGACAACCACGGCAAGAAACAACTGCTGAAGTAGGCGTACTTCGTCGTGATCTATTTTATTTTCTACCTACGTGACTTTACCGAAAGAACCAAATAGTATGGATTCCTGCAGTCACGAAAGCTTCAAATCAAGACGTAAATAACTAAACTAATTATTATATTTTACCAGAGCTATGTAGCTCTTTATCAGAAGCGACCTGCCCACAAACGACAGCTCAAGGAAGTGGCGTATCATGCCAAACACTCGAAGCACATGCTTCTCAGCAGGAGCAGCGCGCTGAGCTGAAGAGCTCACCCCACCCACCTGGATTTACTGCCGGGTCCGTGTCCTGGGGCACCAGGTGCACAGCCACCACGCCGTTGCGAGTGCACCCATCTACACGCATCGAAGATAAGAGCCCCCCCCCTGGTATCGGCTTCATCAGACTGTGGGGGCAAGTGCTGTTAGCGAGCACCTATGAAGGCCGGCACGGCACAGGGTGGGTGGCCAGCGCCACGCCCGGCCGCCTTTGTCTCCCCAGCGGCGATATTTACACACCGCACCAGGTAATCGACCTGGGGGAGGCCCAGGACCGTTTAAGATAATCGTCACTGGGTGTTGGCCGTGAGCGGGAATCGAACCCGGGTCGCCAGGTTCGTAGTGCATCGCGCTAACCGCTGCGCCACCGCTCATGCTGACCCACACCGCACCGCGACCTACACACCCAATACCAACACAGCCGCCATTCGCCACGGAGCGACGATGACGTCACCACGACACCTGTGCCAGGCTATGTGCACTTTCAGGCCACGTGAAGTGTCGAATGCTCGCTGACAGGAGGTCACGGGACAGACCCAGGTGCCATGGGTTGGCTGACTGAGATAATTGGTAGATGCATCAGCTGTGCCCCCTACTGTGCCAACTTGCTGCATTTTATCCACCCGGCACTCCGCTCAATGTGAGCATCGCTCCTCTGCCTCCAACTGCCCAGTAGCGTCCTTCACGAGCCTCCTACACAGAGGTCGATCTTGACACCGCTGGTACCAGTCGTAGGCAAGTCCACTCAGCTCCACATCCTCCCGTACCGCATCAGCTCGATCTCTTCTCCAGCCCGTGTCGTGTCCCTTTTGTCCCCGATATGCGGCCAAACAGAAGCTGCTTGGGCACGCGGTGGCTGGGCATGCGGGCTACGTGGAACTCATTTCGTCCGTGCCGGTGATTTACGGTCCTATGAACGATGCCATTCCCTCCCGCACCTCCGATTAGCACGGTTGGCTACGTACGGTGTGAAAGAAGTTCCACATAACACACCCTACGTACATGCAACACCGCCGTGGCCTGCGCTCTTTTCACGGACGAGGTGGAACGGCCCCAAATAAAAGCCCACTCCACGAACATTCTCGCCGTGACCAGCGGCAGACATTGAGCGTTGACCCCTTTAGCTCCTGAAACAAAGCTGCTGCTGCTGCTGCAATCAGCAGCATCGCCATCACAGTCGTCGTCGTCACTCGCAGGGATAGTCGTGAGAGCGAGCGAGTAAGCTACCCCCCGTCGGAGGCCGTCGGACTGCGAGGGGGGCTGCGTGCAGAACGAGAGCGAGCGAGCGAGAGAGTGAGCTAGACGGGGGGGGGGGGGGGTTTACATAAAGCCAAGTTAAAAAAAAAATAATAAAAAATTACGAAATGATGAACGAAGCAAAGTGCCGAATACACCGAGCATCTTCTTGTTTCCACTGATCGTAAAAAAAAGAGAGCGAGGGAGGGAGGCGAGGGAGACGAGAGAGAGACGAGGGCGAGCGTCCTCCCCTACCGTCGACGGCGGCGGCGCCAGTCCGCACCGAGGCGACCACGTCCGGGCGGGTGATGAGCGCCAGAAGCAGCGGCAGCAGCAGCGGCAGCAGCGTCAGCCCCGGGACACCGCGACTCCTGCCAAAACTCGGCCCCCCACTCGCCAGCATCCCCTCGGCAATCTGCACACGTGTCGTGACCTCTCTACTGACCCAGCGGCCACCGCACATGCAGAGACACGCGCGCGCGGTCGTCACTCTCACGGACTCCACACACCTTCACAGACAAGACAAAGATCCCCCGTGTAGCCTTGACAGACTGTTGGGGCAAGTGCTGTTAGACACACGAGGAGGTGGTTGGCCAGCACCACACGCGGCCGCCTTTGTCTCTCCCTAGTGGCAATGTTTACCCACTTCACCAGTGTGATGATGATTGCTTGTGTTGTAGTGGAAACGTCGTGAGAATGTTTATTGTTTTATATTTATATTATTTTATTATCTCCCTTCTACGTGACTTTACCGAAAGAACCAAGAATACAACTACTTTGTTTCATAAAACCCGATGTATTGACATTGTACATTTGTTTAACGATTCAGAACCACAGGGATGCAGACTGCAGCAACGATTTACGAACCTTCTTGGTTCTTTCGGTAAAGTCACGTAGAATGGAAATAATAAAATAATAATAAATAATAAATTATTCTCACGACGTTTCGACCACAACGCAAGCAGCCGTCCTCAGGTGAAGAACAGGTCCTGTCGAGAAGAGGTCCGAAACGTCGGGAGAATGATTTAATCATGTTTTATTTTTATTATTTTATTATTTCCATTCTACGTGACTTTACCGAAGGAACCAAGAAGAAGATTTACGAACCACTGCTGTGGAGTAGTCACGGTCTTCACCTGACGAGGGCTGAAGCATCCGACACACGCCACGGAGGGAGCCTGCACACAAGGCAGTAGCAAGGCTTGGACATTGCCCCCCATGGGACCCTCACCTCAGGGAGCTTGAGACCCGCAAAGGCCCCCCTCGCCAGCCTCTCGCAGGAACTCATCAACGCTCTCTCTCTCTCTCGCCGTCGTCGTCCCGATGCTCACTACAAAACATCGGCTGGAATCTACGGGGGGGAGGGGGGGGCTTTCAGCCCCACTTCCCACGCTGTCAAATTTCCAATGTTGATCAGTGTATATTTTGCACGCACATTCATCGCTATGGAGACAGCATATTTTGGATTGAAATAGATTTCCTGTGCATATATATATATTTTTCAGACAATATTTTTTATTACGAAGCCAACTCTGCTAAATGAGCCCTCGGCCACCTCGATCTCTGGACACGAACACGATCTATCCACTGTTGGATCAAGGAAGGCACTCTTATCCTCCCGCGATGCCACCGATCCACGTACGTCCTTCTATAGCTCCCTGCGCCTGAGTTTGGGCTTCGTCGTTCCGTCTCCACATGGGTCGTCCTCTTTCGGGCGCGTTCCAACATCGCCTGGCATGCCAGGAGGTGGGGTGTTCGATCCGCACCCTGACGCCTGCTGTACACGTGGAGTGTGCGCTGTCTCTCTCTCTCTCTCTCGCCGTGGGGTCCTTCACTGTTTACCCTCCACATTGAGAAACGTACATTTCAACTATTCAGATTTCGCTGCTATAAATGTTGCACGTTACAAGCCACTTTGTCGTGTGAACGTTCATTTTTCTCGCAGGCGCCGTTCACCCCAACAACGCAGACAATCGAGAGACATCGCAGGCGCGGTTCGCGATCTTGTGCGGACCGCAGCTGGCGGAACAGCTGCGTGGAACTCCGAGAATTGGATGACTTTCGCGCGCCGCCGGGTGGAACACAAAATAAATGACCCAACCAGGGGGGAGGGGAGGGCAAGTTAGTAATGTAGCCCGTAACCCGAGAGTCGCGTGGATAATGTCGCTGTGATGGAATGATTGGGGCGCGCGAACTGGACTTGCAATATCAAAATCTCGCCGGTTCGATCTTCTGGCATGGTGATTACTATTACACCTGGTTTTATTATTTTACGAAGTTCTTTTTTTTCAGAAGCGACCTGGCCATCCCAAATGATAGCTCAACGAAGTGGCTCATCGCGCGGAAATGCACAGCAGCCAAATGCTCTAAAACGCGTGACGTTGATTCTAAATGTGGAGGGAAAAAACAGGAGGACTCGGAGAAAAATACACGCGACCACGGGGAAAGAGACACCGCAAACTCCAAATACGCAGCGGGCATCAGGGTCGGGTTCGAACCCACGACCTCCTGCATACCAGGCGAGGGAGTTAACATCTCTTAGCCACCGTGGCATCCGTGGTGCGAGTTTCTCGAACCCCCGATCGCCTCTGCCCACCCAGCGCTGTGAGTGATGGGTAACAAACACCTGCACGCTTCGTACTCGCCGAGTATCGGGCGCGGGTGGTGGGGTAGAGCAGAGTGTGGGGAAGCATTTGCACTGAGACACCTCCTTTACCAGTGGCAAAATATAGTAATAGGTTTTTACCCTTTCCACTGGTACAAAAACTGACACATTTATACAAGGCATCATGTTTGCAATAACCACAACACAAGCAGTCAAAATGCAAACAAAATATCATTATGATTATCAGAGTTGTTTCTTTTTGTTTGCATTTTGACTGCTTATGTTGTGGTTATTGCAAACATGATGCCTTGTATAAAGGTGTCAGTTTTTGTACCAGTTGAAAGGGTAAAACCCTATTACTACAGAGTGTGGGGACTTCTGCATCTTCAGAGATATCTGGCCAGCGGTTGGAAGAGTAGGCCAAATACCACTGTAGCTACAGGGCTCCCTCTAGTGGAGGCGGCTTCTTCGCCAGCAGTGGCGTGGGCGAGCAATTGCACGGCTGCGCCTGAACCATCGCCGACCAAGCTAGGGCGGTGACGCGGCCTACAGCGGGTTCGATATACAGCGGCAGCCCTGGTTAATCCTGCGGGTGGAATTATAACGACACGTCGCTCACGCACCGACTGCTTCACCCATCGTGGACGTTAAAGACACCGTGACGTCTTTCACGGGTCCGAGAAACGACACCGCGTGCCACTCTGCTGGGTTCACGGCAGCTGCAGCTGCAGCGGCAATAATCGCCCGCAACTGGCCAACGGATTTCCCAGGTCACCAGTTCCGCGTGCGTTGTATGGAAGAGCGCAGCACTCGCTGGCTGATTAATGTTATACGAGAGAAGGAATTGGGCGCCACGGTGGCTAGGAGATGTGAACTACCTCGCCTGATATACAGGAGGTCGTGGGTTCGATCCCGACCTTGACGCCCGCTCTAGATTTAGAGTTTGCGTGTCTCTCTCTCTCTGTGGTCGCGTGGATTTTTCTCCGGGTCCTCCGGTTTCCCCCCTTCACGTTCATTTGGCCGCGATAAATCTCCACGTGGATAAGTCACTTCGTTGAGCTGCCATTTGCGATAGCCAGGTCGCGTAATAAAAATCGCTATATAGCTCAGTGGGCGTAACCTGGAAAGATAAAATAATACAAGTTATGTAATCTCTCTCCGTGGCAAGAGTCCAGACTTTTAAACGAAGATTCGTGCATCCCACGACCGGCCGACACGGGCTGGCTGGGACACGTGCCAAACACATGGAACATACATCTCTGAAAAACCAAGCAACCCCCCCCCCCCCGTATAGCCTTAACAGACTGTTGGGGCAAGTGCTGTTAGCGAGTACCTATTAAGGCCGGCACGGCACACGAAGGGGTTGGGTGGCCAACGCTACGCCCGGACGCCTTTGTCTTTCCAGTGGGCCAACCGTTGCGCCACCGCTCCCCATTGAGTCCACACACCGCCACGTCTCCAGATTAACAACTCTGCCAAGTGACCTTGTTTAAAGGGGGGTGGGGGGGGGGCACGACGCAGTCGATGCTAAACAAACTTTAGACGAACGTGAAACATTACTGAGTAATCCGCTGTTGCCCATCGTGAATTCCGCTCTGGCTCTCGTGTTCCCGTATTACACACACCACGTGCGCACGCACCACGTGTGTACGGCCCCTGTGCGCACGCACCACGTGCACACACGCACCACGTGCACACGGCTCACGTGTACACATACCACGTGCGCACACGCATCACGTGCACACGCATCACGTGCACACGCGCCAGTGTACATGCACCACGTGCACACGGCCCACGTGCGCAGTGCAGGCCACCGTTGCCGCAGCAACATTCTTCGGCTAAATATAATAACGCAGCAGCGGCAGCAGCGGCAGCAGCGGCCAGAGCTTGACAAACATGTATTTACAAGAGAGGCTCTGAAGCCTTCATTAGTGGGGCTAGAGGGAGGAGGAGGGGGGGTCCACAATCCCTCCGCTCAAGGGGGTGCGGTGAGAGGGGGGGGTGCGGTGAGAGGGGGGGGGGATGCGGTGAGAGGGGAGGGGTGCGGTGAGGGGGGTGCGGTGAGAGGGGGGGGGGTGCGGTGAGAGGGGGGGGGGGTGCGGTGAGAGGGGGGGGGGTGCGGTGAGAGGGGGGGGGGGGATGCGGTGAGAGGGGGGGGGTGCGGTGAGAGGGGGGGGGGGTACTGCAGTCCGTGGGTGACCGTCTTTGGGCTGGGGTAGAGAGAGAGGAGAGGGGGGGGGGGGCTGTCAATCCTTGCCGGAGTAAAACCGCCCGGCCGGGCGTGGCCGGCGGCTCACGGTGCGTCCGCGGTATTTATATTTCGGCTTTCCACCGTCGCGTCCTTGCGCCCCGCGCCCCGAGATTAGAGCCCCTGAGAGGCTCCAATCAACTCAAGTGCCGCCACTGCGGCTCAACCCGGGCGGGCGGGCGGGCGGGCGGGCGGGGAGGGCGGCGCGGGGGAGAGAGGGAGGGAGATAATCTCCTGCTGACGAGATTAGCGGTGGGGAACACGACAGCCAGCAGAGACAGAATGTTCACATCTGCACCTGCCTGGCCGCATGCCCACCTGGCTCGCATATTCATCTGCCCACCTGCCCACCTATTCACCTGCCCAACTATTCATTTACCCACCTGCCCACCTATTCACCTGCCCACCTATTCACCTACCCAACTATTCATTTACCCACCTGCCCACCTATTCACCTTCCCACCAATTCACCTGCCCACCTATTCACCTACCCACCTTCCCACCTACCCACCTGCCCACCGATTCACCTACCCACCGATTCACCTACCCACCTGCCCACCGATTCACCTACCCACCTATTCATTTACCCACCTGCCCACCTATTCACCTTCCCACCAATTCACCTGCCTACCTATTCACCTACCCACCTTCCCACCTACCCACCTGCCCACCGATTCACCAACCCACCGATTCACCTACCCACCGATTCACCTACCCACCTGCCCACCGATTCACCTACCCACCTATTCATTTACCCACTTGCCTACCTATTCACCTACCCACCGATTCACCTACCCACCTGCCCACCTATTCACCTACCCACCGATTCACCTACCCACCTATTCACCTACCCACCTGCCCGTCTACCCAACCGCCGCGGTGCCGAGATGTTAACTCCCTCGCCTGGTGTACAGGACGTCGTGGGCTCGATCCGCTACCCTGACGCCTGCTGTGTATTTGGAGTTTGCACGTCTCTCTCACCGTCCCCGTGGTCGCGTGGAATGTTGTCCGGGTCCTCTGATTCCCCTCCTCCTCCACATTTAGAATTAACATCACGCGTACTTGGCGACTATGAATTTCCACGTGATAATCCACTTCGGTGAGTGAGTATTTGTGGTCGGGTCGCTTATGAAAATGAGCTGTGTAGCTCAGTGGGTCCTGCCGAGTAAAACAAAAGTTTCACTTTCCTACCTCCACGCCCGGCCATTCGCGAAATCGCCGTCAATCAACACACGTGGATTATTCTCTTACACCATTGGAACCTCATTTGCCAGTAGCAAAATATGATAATAGGTTTTTTACCCTTTTATCTGGCAACAAAACTGAGACCTTTTTTTTTTACAAGGAGTCAAGTTTGCCTAGACCACAATACCTGCAGTAGGAATGCAAACAAAAAACATAATTCTGATGTTTGCACTGTCCTTGAAGTTGATTGGTCCACACCAGAGACAGCTTTCTTTAGAGCCTAGTCTCACCCTGGTGTTGGACCAGATGACGCCAAAAGGCGCACTCGGGTGTGGACCAATCAATTTCAAGGACCGTGCATACATTATCAAAGTTATGTTTTTGGTTTGCATTCCGACTGCAGGTATTGTGGTCTATGCAAACATGACTCCTTGTAAAAAAAGGTGTCAGTTTTGTTGCCAGATAAAAGGGTAAAAAAAACAATTATCGTGGATTATTCTGTTCAACTCAAAAACACTTCCCCCCATAGCCGACGTTTGGTGCAATGGTCCTTCTTCGTAGCAGAGGCACCAGAGGCTGAATGCACGAAACACCACCACACG